ACCAGCTAAACTAACGCAAAAATAACAAGATACTCCGTTCAGGCCTTTTGTAAATTGATTCTTGTTCCATGAGAAAATGTCGTAAACAGCTCGGAGACGTCTGAATTTCTTCAGAAATGTTTGCTCTACACGATCAACGTATTTGCCAAGAATTTCTGGACTGAACTCTGGGACTTGGTTTTCTGAGTTTTGAGTTTTCCAGAGACCCTGATTTCAGGAGTTTCGATGGAGCCTTTGTATACACCATCTGAGATCGGAAATTCTTCCAGCTATTCAAATCTTTTTTCAAATTTATTCTAGCTATTATGATCATGCAATAATTGCAACTAGACGTATTTATACGTCGCCGGGAGCCAAAGGCTTAAATGTTGGATTTCTATTGGTATTTTGTCGTAGTGTACTAAACCATTAAAACAATGAATTCAAATGCACATATGAAAGATACAACTGTTGTGAAACTGAATTGGAATGATATGACTTTAAATTGAAAACTGAAATTTATCATCAAATATTTACATGCAATTGAAAACAATAACATTCAACATAATGATATAACATCTGAAGATAAGCAGAGAGTCGATCTAGACACTTGTATATAATTGCTGAAAACTTTTCAAAATTATCCCACATGGACACAATTGCATATATTCATATCCGTATTTTATACATTATTCAATGGATTCTCAAAATGTGGATATTTTCTCGTCGATCCAATACCGAAACAACCAGTGCGTATGAATGTTGTTATGGTGCTGGTTCAATGGGCAAATCAGTTTACTACCATGTCCGTTGAAACTATATGCAAAAGACAGCAAAGTCCATCTACAATATTCAAGTGAAATGTTAACAGATATAATTCTTCGTTGGTCAGAAACACAACCATTTACATTGGTATTCTCCGATACATACGATGCAATTTTTGTTTATAAAACATTGACCGATGTACCGTACGCATTACAACAGTACTTTGATGTCTGTTGATGATTAGCTAGCAATCAGACGACGAGTGCTGAAAACGTTAGATGTAGAAATTTAAAGTGAATTTTTATTACGTCTAGAAGTAGGACGTAATTTGACAGACAAACATGCGAAAAGAAAATGTATCCAGCCTGTTTCACAATTCATATGGCAATTTAAAACATTAAATTTGAATTTTGTTGTCGAAAATCGACTTTTCATACTTTTTAACGTTGATATTCGTTATTATTATAAAAACTTGCGTCAAATAGTTGATATTCAAGGTTAATTTGAGAGGAAATTTTTTTCGAATTGCTGTATACTGATTGACCTTTATCGAGCCAAGCCACTTTATGACCCATATGCTTGCTCCAGTCACTAATTCACTTTTGGATTCAACTGCCATGAGAGGTCCTCAGTTATACCTACAACGTTTTTTAGTTTAGTATAATAACTTTCATTAGAAAGCGCTGTCTCCTCATGAAAATTACTAAAGATTGCACGTTGTGCTGAGGAATCGATGCAAAAGAAGTATATTTTCTTTTATTTCTTTCTATGTGTTTTTCACATCACTCAACTATTATTTAATCCACTCTGCTGTTCAAAACAAACGAAGTTATGATTATTTTTTTGTTTCTGCTTTAATGTTAGGTAGAGATATAATATGAGAGAAAGTTAAAACGGTTGTTATTAATCAAAAACTGAAAAGAGCCTTTAGAATGTCTCGCGTTTCGCCTGAACCGAACCCTATACAATTGCAGCCAACACCATCTTTCATTTCAAATAAAACGAATACGACTATGGTTTATCATAATGTCGAATCAACGGCAGTAAAAATGTATTATCGCTCTTTCTCAGTGAATTAACTTTTCTTTTATTTATATTTAGGAACAAACACCTGCGGTTGTGACAAAGACACTGACACCAAATGGAATTTCAACCATTTCATCTATAGTAAAGTAAGTACAATGAGAGATTAAACAAAGGCCAATGACTAAATCTTTACCGTATAAGCTGAAATAAGTCTCCTATGTTGTTCTAAGAGTTTAAGTATGAAAAAACACAAAATTAACTTTGTACGAATACAGACTCGAACACACGAACTAAGTTTGTAATATACGGCAACACGGACTTACTAGTCTATACCTACTTTTTATTACTGGAAATTGTGCACAATTGAATCGATATTGATATATCGATTAAGTCTGTTTCAGAGGTGCGTTTATTCGGCCTAAATGGATGACAAACAAAATTATAGCAGGGATTATTACCTGTACTGTTGCTGCTTTACTTGTCATTATTATTCCCATAGCGGTGAAATTCAGTGGACGAGGTAAGAAATTAAATGTCAGTTGATAATAGGAATAAGGATCCGTTAACTTTCAGGAGGATCCATCGCATCAACGACCATCATCGCACTTCCGGTTGTCTCTGCCTATTGGGCATTCGATAATAACGGAAATGAACTCTATGGCGGATATCCTGGCTCCCTGGTTGGTAGCGCCTCGTATCAGTCTGGATATACGTATTTTGGTGTTGGTTACGGCCTCTACATGTCTACGTCGAATAGCTATTTCTCGGTGTCAAACTATTTCAATTTATCCTACCAAAGTTTCACGGTCGATGCGTGGATCTACCCGTATAACATTGCTGGGGATAATCCGATATTTAGCCAGTGTACCTGTAGTTCGTGCACGAGTCAATGTCTGTTCCTGATACTTCGCACTGGAAAATTATATATGGGCTTTACATACAATGATTTAACTGGTACTACAACACTAACTGCGAGCAAATGGTATCACATTGCATTCGTATATAACTACCAAACCTCTCAACAACTCATCTACGTCGATGGTGTTCTGGACGCCAGTCGATCGGGCGTTACAACGCCCTATTTAGGACAAAATGGTTCGATTACGATGGGTTATTCTATGCTGTTTGGTACGTCGGCCTACTACTATTATGCCATTGATAATCTAGCACTAACGACACGTGCCAAAAGTTCATCAGAACTGCTGACTACCGCCACACTTATTTTCTACTTTTCGTTCGATCTACCTTCGCCTTACTATGATAACGGACCTAATGGACTGAATAGCACTAATTACGCAGGTTTATCATCCGTCAGCGGACGGGTGAATCAGGGTATTCAGCTGACGACAAGCACATCGTTTTTTCAAATGTACGGCTTTTACGGTATTGGCTTGCTTAGTAATTCCCCGTTTACGTTTGCCGTGTGGATCAATCCAACGTCGATCAACGGCGGCATCATTGTACATATATCGTCGACCCAAAACGGTTATTGGTCTCAGCAAGATATATTGTCATTAACGTACAGCGGTCAAATAATGACGCAGATCCAATCGAGCAATTCATATTATCCGTCGGTTATCGGTCCGTTCATTTCGCTAAATACGTGGACACATGTTGCCTGTACGTTTAGCACGACACTTGGTCTAACACTCTACGTGAATGGAAATTCTAAGGGTTCCTCGGGTGCCATAAGTGCGTATAGTAATAGTGGCGGCATTATGTACGTAACATTAGGATATAACTTCGGCCAAACTGTGACAAATATTGCCAGCCTTCCATTCCAAGGTGCTTTCGATGAGTTTTATACATACAAGCGTGAGCTAAGCGCATCTGAAGTTTCATCACTGGCCAATCCGTAGAAATTCATTCGTTGTTTGGTCTAATTGTTGTGCAGGATTATCTTTCCGAATTCTTTGTTTCCACAATTTGAAACTCGTATACTTTTTCGGCTTCCGACAGAAATCTCCTGTACTCTCTTCATCACTAGATAAGATGTCCCGCAACTAAAGATCTCGTAGTTTCGACATTTTTCTTTGAACATGCTGTCTAAAACTTAAATCTAGTTTTAACTAGTACATATATTTCCAAGTAACACAGTTTTTAGATCTAAACACACATGTGCTTCAAAGCGATCCATTACAACAGTCACACCCATTCTCACCTGAATGAGTGAATAAACCTACATGACGCTGACTTTTATCTACAATATAGCCTGCAGTCTTTTCCAATAAAACACTTGGAAATGCCATCCATCTACGAAGAGGAGATATCACTAAACTAGGGGTGAAAATATGGCTGCTCTACAATGTATGCAAGATTACTACGACGTTTTATATGCTAGAGAGTTTATATGTGGGGATGTCATA